CAGTGATATTAATTAATAGTGTTTGAAGAAACACTTCGTCTAGGAAATTAGTGCTTGCAAGTGATACGTTTTGTGTTTCCTCTTTATTCTTTTCAATATCATTGCTGTTTTGATTGGTGGACAAATCCGGACACATGACACTCCAATGTCTTTTCGAGCATATCGAACATCGTACATTTCTCTTGCATTGCTTGGCCCTGTGTCCAATTTTGAGGCAGAAGAAGCAACCCTTCTTTTTCTTAATTTCATCAATCTTTTGGCTCAGAGGCATCTTCTGAGCAACAAAGCAATCTCGACTCTCATGAACTTTTTCACAAAATATGCAGGAATTCTTCTCACTACAATTGGTTGCTTTATTATGGCCTGAGAATAAATCATTTGCTGTAGGCACGAAATGTTCACTCTGGTACCTTTTATCTTTTCTACTTTCTCTCTTGGCACTCGAATCAATTAATTTAAATCCAGCTTTTGCCAAAGAAATTCTCTGCGCTCCTTCCACTTCATTCTTTAAAAACAATAATAATTGTTTCAATTTATCAGAGTGAGAATTTTCTGCTGTAATTATTGATGCATAATTTCTAATCCAAACTCGTAAAATTTCCTCGGGAATGCAAGATTCCACGAGCGGAAACAGCATTGCAGCGTATTTATCGCTTGTCATTCCTATTGAATGCAACGAATGCAAATACGACTCTAACTTGTCATACAATTCTGATATACTGTATTTTCCCTTTTGATCAGTGACATTTTTAATAATCAAACCTAATAATTCCCGAATATAGAATTCTACCAACAATTCTTTCCTGCCAAACCTATTTTTTAAGCTTTCTATAACTTTTTCATAATTTTCGGCAGTTGCAGGGAAGCTGTTTACAATATCCCGTGGTCTCGTACCGGGTACGGTCGCTTGAACGAGATAATGCATCTATCCTCGTTTTGAATTTCTTTATCTTCATGTATTCGCCGAAATTGCCCCCAAAACAGTAACCAATCTTTAATTTCGCCACCGAATTGTTTTAACTCAATTTTAGGTAATTTCAGTTTCCGTTTGTTCGAATTCGGCGGAACACTGCTTATGGATAGTGTCGTTTGGCGATTGAAGAATAATTCCGTTTCTACTCGTATTAAATCTAATTTTTCTTTGTATTCTTCAATTTTCGCCCATTCACTTTCAAACTGATTATTTGAAGAAAATTCCGAATTTAATATTTGAGTATCAAATTCATTAAGTTCAACAGATAAACTTTCTAAAGTAACAAGTTTCGTTTTTACAGATTTTGCATCAGGAATTTCCTTTTCTAATTCTTGCAATATTGCATTAATTGTTCTCGTAAAAGACGCTCTGACAGGTTTTCGTTTCTCAATTAACGATTCCATTTCAATAAAAATAAATTCAATAAAGTCAAATAGAATTAAATTCGATAAAACCAACAAAATTACCTTGATTTGTTTTACCGATCACGTCCGGGTCACCAAAATTGTTCGAGATTTGTAAGAACTAACCGTTCTCCTTTCTCCTAATAAACTTAAAATAAAATAATTTTACATATAAAATTCTACAGCGTCATATTTATTTTCAAAATCCATAGAACTGCAACAAAGTACAACAAAGATCAGATGGTTGCCACTCTTGCAGTGACAAACTATAAAAAGAAAATAACAAATGAGGCTGGGTTCTAACAGTTACTCCGGGCCAAAATAATAATAAATAAATTTAGAAATTTAACTCCGATTGAAAACTGGTCTGATGGCAACAATGTCTGTAATACATGTAATGTCTGTCATATACGATACACTTCATGTGTTGCATTTATACACATCATTTCTTTGCATTACTTGGAAAATATAAAAACTAATTAAAAACCAAAATTTTAAATCAAAATCAAAATTCTTTCACGAATAGAAGTACGGTGAATTCTCTTAAAAACAATCACGTACTGTTTCAGATGTTTTCAATCTTTTGTGGAAATAGTTGTCTTAAAGCAGATAACTTAACGGTGACATCGACTTTGGGTAAGATTTATTCTATTAAATGCTTTTGAAATCTGTTAAAAAGGGCTAATACAGAAGAATGGTATTCAAGTTATTCATAGTGTTACACTACTAAAATTACGAACTTATTAGAAATATAAGCTGCACGTAATATAAACAAGGCAAAAGAAATAATACGAATTTTTGAAAAGTTTCGTTTGATGTACGCCTAGAAGAGTTTAGCGTTAATGTTAGAAAAAATGTAAAATTTTTTTTAAAACAAATTAAAAAATATAAACATTTATGGGTACTTTTCTGTTTCACCGGCGCAGGCAATGAAGTCGCCAATAATGGTACAACTGATGCCAAATGGAATATCTTCGCTGGTTACCTTTTACGCCTCATTTTCAAAACAAGTCGCAGTCATTTTTTTGTCAGATTGATTGTTTCTTTTAATACTGGCATACAATTACATAGAATTTTTAGCAAGTAGTTCAATTCTAAGACCATTCGCGATAATTGAGTCAGTTAGAATGCAATGACACCACTCATCTAAAGGCGAAAATATAGAAAAGGCAAAGTCAAGGATTAAATTCATCAATTCTAATGAGAATGTACTAGCGAAATAAAGCACTGCGGTTCTACATAGTTTCTGAGTAAGCTGTTTGTACGAATTGAAATAATTCTTGCATTTAAACTTTAAGTTAAATCTTAATTCTAAATTAAGATTTAACTTGAAATTAATTTAGATATTTCCTGAAAGAATTAGATTTTTGTAGCGTAGTTTACGTGAGATGAGATCACTTGTGGTAACGTGAAATGAATTGACGAATCAGGATTTTGAACCATGAAAGCATAACAAATTCTTAAATTAATGTCTTTTTACAAATTTATTGATTTTGTTTATTGGCTTTTTACAAAATTTTAAACGGTATTAAAATGTTTATGCCTTCTTCAGAATAAAAAAAATTCTTAGAACTAACATCTGTTAACATTTTTTATATGTATACTGTATGTTGTTGCCGATAAAGTCTGCTTACCGAGATTTGCGCCGGCGAAACGGTATGTGTGTGATTATGGCAAAGCCTCGAGGGCTATCTGCTTAAGGGAAGGGATGCCTTCGTGAAGGACTTTCTAATGAAAACTGGCTCGTATACATGTTACACATGGGGAAAACCACGAAAACACCCTTCACGGGATTCGAACCTCGGACCGAACTACCAGTGATCAACGAATTTACCGCTCGGCCGCTGGTGGGCGCCCGGCGAAACGGAAAAGTACCCATTTATCAAATCAGAAATTCCGGTACAATTCGGTTTTGAGGGCCGTAAAAAATCGCCAAACTATTGTTGATGCTAGTGCTGCCAAAAATAATAACGGCAACCCTAACGCAAGAAAGGAAGTATAATAGTAAATAACTATTTAAGATTGATGTTTTAATTTAGATGAAAAGTTAATTTCATAGAATACTTTTTTATTATTATAATTTATATAGAAAAGGCTAAACATGACTGACTGAAAGCATAAGAGTAAATAACTATTTCAGATTATTATTATAATTTATATAAAAATTGCTAAACATAACTGAATGGATGCCTGCATTGCTATTTCGCTACCGAGTTATCGCTAAAGCATAATTTCACCTCGTTGGATGTTCAAACATAATTTTCTATAATGAATGATGTCTTTTCTTTGAAAAAATTCTCTGTAAAGTGCAGAATCGCCCACTTATTTTTTTGCCGCTTTTTACAAGGGAAAAACAACTGGATTTTTGTCAATTTTCTTTTATGTTTTAAGTGAAAATAAGTCGATGTGTACATAGATAAGGATGTGCGCAGTACCATTTTTGTGCAATTCTGGGATAATTTTTTCAAGTGTTAAGGTCGATGTGTACATGGATACTGAGTATGTGCAATTCTTAAAAACGCGTCAAGCAGTGGGTGATTCTGCACTTCGCCCAAAATTCTATTGCAGACTTTTCGTCATGGGCAATTTCCAAATTGTTAAATCTATAGGATATCAAAAAAGGATTTAAAAATTAAACTAGTATTTCAATGGCGTCTTAAGAAAGAAATATAGAACTATATAAACTTCCGCAATCTGAAATCAGCGCGTACGCTAGATTTAGCGCGCTGTTAAATGGGCGCTTTTGCGCATACATTTTCGCTGCAATTTTTTTACGGTCCTCAAAACGGAATAGTACCGAAATTCCTATCTGACCTCGGTACGCACATTTCAGTTTAACTCCTGAAAAAAAATTTAACTAAGCAGTCATCGACTTTCTATTTAAAACTTAGACTTCCAGATATAATATAAAATTTTCTGTTTAAAAACCAATTGTTCAAAATGGCAAAGCAAAATGTAGAAAAATTTCGTTATAATATTGTTTCATCGTAAATCAACTTCACAGTTTGTGCATTTTTTATAAAAAAGCTCTAATTACTGGTCTCTGTGCATTATTTCTTGGATCGTGTGTATCTATAAAATTAAATAACTAATTGTTTCACTTAGTCATATCAGCTACGCAAGATGAAAATAAGTGCCGAATCCTCTTCTTTCGAATAATAAGTTTTCCCCATGTGTAACGTGTATACGAGCCAGTTTCCCTTAGAAAGTCCTCCATGAAGGCATCCCCCTCCTTAGGCAGATAGCCTTCGAGGCTTTGCCGTAATTAAATAACCTAACCTTTCGAATAATAAGCCAGAAATTATCCTTCGATATTTCAAAAATTGTGATATCGGTAATGTTGTGCACAGAACTGAAGATAAAAATTTCTACGAGGCGGTTGACGACGATGTTAATAACAAAATGAAGAACTCTGATTTGCCTGTTGTGAAGACAGACTTTCGTGAATTGTTCGTGTTTCGTGAATTCAAGGTCAGATACTGTATCGAAAAATTTGATTAATGTACGAATTAACAAAACAAAACATAGTAACTAGGAAAAAACAAAACAAAATAGTATTTTAAATTACTTTAATTATTTAAATTTTTAAGTTATTTATTTTTGTGATCGAATTATGTGTGAAATATGCACAAAAAGATCAGGTTTAATAATTTGCTCTTAAATAATTAATAATTCTCTCAAAGAACACTATGATTCCATTATAAAATAAAATGGAATATTATATGAAATAGAATACTATGATAATATTTTTGAATAACCGATGTTTTCAAAATAATAGAGAAAAAAACCGAAGCAAAATTCTGCTGAAGACTTCAATGGAGAGTCTAATAAAGTGAGCTTCAGGCAAAGTCTGTCCTGAGGTCAAGAGGGCTGATAAGAATATTTTTTAAAGCTAAAAGTATATATCTCCTATAGATGACAAGATATACGCATCTGGTGTCTTAAACAAGAAACTTTTGACATAGAATGCACAATACCATTCAGCCACTATCGTCGTGAACACAGAGTTGGTCATGGGAATCATAGAGTACGACAGAATAAATTCGAAAAATGTATGAAGAAATTCTTGAATATTTTACTGTAGACATTGAAAAATCCTTTAAAGAAAATTATTTCTTCTACTGGCAGGATGCAGCTTTTTGTCATTTTGATTAAATACTATACCTGATCAGTCAAACAAAAGTGAAGGATTATTATAAATCCTTGAAACTTATAAAAAGTTCTTGAAAATTAAACTATACAAATGATACCAAATTTTATTATGCTGAAATATAAGTAAACTATTTTAATACATTAGAGAAAAAGGGCACATTTACAAAAGTTATGAAACTACAGTGGTATGCTTATTTGAAGAAAACTGATAAAATTATGCAACAATAAAGAATAATTTAAACACTACTCATAAAACATTCATAGGTAAGGATAGATTTAATAGTAATCGTTTGTAAGTATAGTTTTAGTAATACTCAAAATCAATAAAACATCACAGCTTAAAATACTGCATTAGAAGCGGCGTTTAGTTTCTAGAAGTCATCTTTTGTTTTTCTGACCACAAAAAATTGGGGAAGTAAAAAAAAAATAATATACTAAGCGAACGCAGATGTCATACGAATTTTCAGGAACGCTCCTTGAATTGCTGCGTCTTGTAATATTTCTGAGGAGATTAGTGTTTCATCCATCTTTTATATTTCAGCTCTTAATTTGTCCGCCTTTGTTGGTGAGGCATACGTCCAAGAGCCATTTGAGGTAAATTACTTGGAGGTATTGGAAAGATGTCTTATGCTGAAGTTGAATGAAAAAAAGTGATGGTAACCTATTTAGCAAGGTTCACCTGATTCACTTCTGCAAAAATTATTATCAAAATCATTTATAGGAATATCTTGTTTAAAATTTGCTCACAAAAATATGAAATTTGAAAGAATATCTAAATCAAAATTTCTCACTGATTACTAATCAGACAAAATGTGTCAGTGATTAATTACAAATTTTATCTGGTGTATTGCCTGGAAAAGGTGGATGAGGTATACTCAGCCAAAACTAGTCCTATGTGTTCTAGACACTTTAAGATGGATAGGAACAGAGGACAAGAAGATAAGGTATCTTTACTGTGTTCAACTGGTCTTCGGATTTAATTCCATGGGAATTTTAAAAAGTTTTAACAGAATTATGATTAATCCAAATAGTCAACGTAACATTTGTGCAACCGAATTTACAAGACATATCATTTACAGTTTGGAAAAACTGACAAAACATTTTTGAAAACTTACTCAAGGAGGTAAAAAGAAACTTGATTTTAAGATTATACAAGTAAGGTTCATATGCAGGTTTAAACAATAACGATTTAAAACTGTTGGCATAATATTCTACAAAATAAATTAGAATTACGTATCAGTTAAAGCATTTTCTTTTGTTACTCTGATTTTATTGAAACAATATTGTTAGATGCATACACTTGCCATAAGATGCATGCAGTTAATCATCAGTTTTATTTCACCTCCTTTTTGTATCTTATACAAAATCTGTTATATACTTTGCATAATGATTATTGGGTCTTAAGTTCTGTTCTTATATGTTCATAAATTCTATGCATGATGGCAAAAGATTTATGTTTTCCTCATGTGTGACAGCAAGTGTTTTTTTAAACTGCAGTTATGTTTATATCTTTTTTCGCAATACGTACACTGAAACGGCGCTTCCCTAGTATGTGCACTGGCGTGCTGAGTCAAATGGTGTTTTCTTTTGCACTTGTAAGCACACTGATGACACTGGAAAATATGATGGTTTGTGTGAGTGATTCTATGAGTTACAAATGCTGATATGATCCTGGTAGTATAATTGCACAACGGGCACATGTAAGGAGAATTTCCAAAGTGCTGCTTCATATGTAAATAGTACTCATGGTTGTAGGTGGATTTGAATTTGCAGATATAACATTCATAACAGGATGCTTTTGAGTGAATGAATACCTTATGTCTTGCCAATCTATCGCTTCTAGTGGTGGCATAATAGCAGAAGCAGCACTTGTAGACCTTGCGAATACCCCTGGCAGATCGTTTCTTTGAAACTGTATGGTTCCCTTTGATTCCACTCTGAGCATAATTAGGTCGAATATTCAGAAGAGATTTTGTACCTTCAATATCTTCTTTCATAGGTATTGTATTTGATATAGGTGATAACTCAGTATCAAAACTAGCTTTTCCACTCAAAGCATCAGCTGGATGACATTTATTTAGTTGTTCTTTCATTTCAGAATTTTCAAAAGATTTCTTACAGCAGCCAAGGAAACTCTCTGATCCTGGATTCTTAGTTGAAGGATCTAAGTTAAAATACGAAACAACATTTTCTCCGTATGATTTCTGTAACTGATACGTATCTAGCTGCCATTCCATCCTACGTGTCGGAAAAGCTACAAGACGTTTCGTTTCTTTAATATTCTCTTCTTTAGATATTAAATTTGATATAGATGCTAACTCAAGAAAACTATGTTCCTTACTAAAAGCTTTATATGGCTGATATAGATCCTGCTGCTCCTTCACTTCTACTTCAGAATTTGCAGCAGATTCCTTAAGGCAGCCAACAAAACTTTCTGGCCCTGTTCTCGTAGTTAAAGAGTCAAACTTAGAAACTGAAATAGCATTTTCTCCGAATGTTTTCTGTATCTGACACTTATCTAGCTGCCTTTCTGTTCTTTGTTTTAGAAAAATAGTAGCTTCTTCATGATTTTTAAATTTAGGTCCATGTTCAACGAAAGTGTTTTTGGGTTCATAGATGTTCTGCTTTTCTGTTTGGATTATTTCAAAAAATACAATTGGTTTTGAGTGAATCATTTTTTAATGGAAGAATTAATCTTGCATTACGATTTTGCTCTGTCAATGAATGAAAGCTAGGTGTTGTTTTTCAACTGAATGCCTCCATGTCTGACACGAAGTGAAGCGAATAAATCTGAAAGATTAAAGAATAATTATAAGATAAAATTAGTCGTATGCATTTTAAACATGTGTGTAGGTAATATTTTCAGTCAATTCAAGATTAATTGGAATAATTCGAGCACAGCAGCTACCGTTAATTCAAAATCATAATTAATTCGAAAGATGTTAAAACACAGGAAAAAGAATAACTCATACTACAATTAACATAAAAAGTAATATTGAGAAATAATTTGTATTTTAAGGACTTCAACCTAAAGAGTGAATTCTTTTGGTTTAAATTAAATAGCATTAAAATTTCTGTCGCTCATGAGCACGCGTTCATATTCTTTTCATCTCCCTGTTTCTTTTTGTACTTACGTAAACAAAAGTCCTTACTTGGCCTTTATTTTTGCAATCGTTGATTACAAACATATACTTCCAAATACAAAAATATTTTAAATGATGCAAGTATTCTTGTTTTGATATTTAAAATTTTAAAACACCAGTTTTTCAAAGATCATAAAGTCTAACTTTTTATATGCTTTACCGGTGCCTGTACTTATATTAAGGGAATTTTTTACTCGTTATAAAACGTAAGCTGCAAAAAGACTTCTGTACGACATAAATTATTTGAGATAATTTACATTCAGTTTGCAAATGATATTCAAACCGCAGACAAATTGAAAGGTGAAATGTTTGAATTTCAGGCCTAATTAAAAATAAAACACCAATTACGAGAAAAATTTTGTGTTATTAATAGATTAAGTGAATAGTGTTCCTGTAGAGATTGTCATGAAAAGTGTTGATCAATATATTTCTTTTCTTCAAAATAGAGATCTTATTAACAGAATAATACATAACTCTTGTTCTAAAACACTGGCAGGCTTCAGCATTAGCACGTAAGTAACAATAACATTATTTGTATTAATTACAAATAAAAATATTTCCAGTTTAATTATTTTTTCCGCATGCTTACTAGATTATAATTCAAGAGTAATAAAATTTCATGAGAACACTAATAACATATATTTAACGTTTGAAAACTTATAAATTATTTGCGTGAAATTTCTTTCGACATACCAAATGTAATAAAATTGTAAATTACGGGCGCTAATCTCAAAAGAATGTCACTAAATGGCAAAAATTATCCTCGATTACTCTAATTCGTTTATTAACTGATACCTCAATGCAATGACGTCAAATACCACATTTTCTTAAATATAAGTATAGTGAAACCTTGATTCACGAGCGACTTGAATCACAAGCAAATCACACCACCACCAAATTTTTCGAACGAAGAAATATCTCGTATGACGAAAGATATCTCTAGATAGAATAAGCTCAGTGATTCTCAAGTAGAATTTGGGGAGTAGAAGCGAGCGGAGGGGGGGGGAGAAAGACAGCGGTTACTGAGATATTTTTATGGAATGGGACTTCGTTTTCAAACACCTTGCACATTTGGCATTTTCACCTTACGCCGTCAACTTTTCTTCGTAGACCAGACGGTAAAATTTAATTCAAGTGTTCCTATTTTTTTATATGTTTAGTATTGCGTTAAATATTGGGTATGTGTTAGATTTAATGAATTCCATTGGTAAGTATTACAAACTCACATGGAATGTACTCTTTTCTAAACAATTATGTGGGAACAGAGAACGGATTAATTCATTTTACATTAATTCCTATAGAGAAAATTATTTCCTTTTACGAAAATTTCAGATGACGAACTATCTTCAGAAAAGAATTAAGCTCGTGAACCAAAGCTTTCCTGTATAGGCACTGGGAAAACATTTTTTACAAAACTATTTTTTTTTAGTTTAAAAATACAGAAATGTTGATCTTTGCTTCATTTAAAACACTTTTGTATCTGGAGGTATATATCTACGACCAACTGTTACAAAAATAAAGGCCGTGTAAGAACGTTTCTGAACGTGGTGTAATCCGCATTTCACATGCTAATAGTTTTACTTATTATTTTTGTATTTCTACAAAAGGTTACTGTGGAACAGAAGATTTGGCTGTACACTTAATTTATTTTTACAATTAAAGCAATTTGCTTTTAACAACGTCTAGATTTCCTGAATCACATGCAATTAAATCATGACGTATTTTGAATAAAAATAATTCGCAAATTTTATATTACTTGTTTTCACTTTTACTATCGCCACAAATGGTAATTGATCTTTAAGCATGAGACGTGCATTTTATGTTCAAGTTCTGATTTAATAAAGAGGGTGTTTTAAACATTTCCTAGACTCTGTTATTACTTCAAACTAAGCGATACTTTGCTTCAAGTCTGTTAGGAACTTGATATTAATTAATGCTACCAAAGAAAGTCAAACTCTATAACATGATTGGGAATGGGAAATTTTAAAAGTTTTGACTCTTGCAACGTTTGTATTAGCAACTGGATAAAAGACCTGTCTCTATATTGTTCTTTTTATTTCTTAAATAAAAAAATACTAAAAATATTGTGGTTATTAAAAATAATTAATGTTTTCTTGCATATTTGTTAAATGGTTCCAGTTTCTGTTATTAGGAATTTTTCACGCTGAAATTTATTTTTGAGATAGAATCAGGATTATTAGATTTAATAAAAAGATAAAAGCTCAAATTAAAGTGAATGAATTTTACCCGAGAAAAAATCGTTTAATATGGACGATAAAGAACGGCAAAGAAATAAAGACACACGAACGTTCTTAAAAAAGTTTTAAAATTAAATAAGGAAAATGCAAAAAGAATTAATAACAGAACCACTGTGAAAAAGTATACTATCTTTGTAACGGTTAGATTCCTAAAATACCATTTGGAACGATTTTTTTCTTGTTAACGAGCCTGAAAGTAATTAATCTGTGTTCCTGTTGTACAAAGAATTTCCTCTCAAAGACTTTAATACGTACTTTAATAATGAAATTTTGTATGAGAAACAATTCATCAATTTCAGTTAAAAGCAAACCTATTCGCAAGAAAATATTATTAATGGATGGATTCCTATTATAGCATTGTCTAGTATTTAATGCCATCGTAAATAGAGGTTCATTTACCTCTTTTATTCTTTTAACTATACGCTTCATTAGCTGTTATTATACTATATTAAATGCTAAACAAAACGTAGATCTTGAATTGTATTTGTCCATTATTTAGAGGCCTTAAAAATTCAAATGACTGTAAGAACTTAACTGCCGTTCAAAAATTTAGTAACAGAGAGAATTATATATTATTAACAGAACAGGGATAGTTTTGGTGTTTAGCATCCTACGAGATAAAATTTGTATTTCTATATAATAAAGTTAGTAAATAGTAAATATTAAAAATTTCTATTTTAGTTCTGTCAGAAAACCATCTACTTAAAAAAATAGGTGTTATAGGTGTTGCGTGCTTTGACATGGTTTGAATTATTATTTAACTTAATTGTTTAGTTGAATGATGTTTGAATATTGCTAAGTATTTCTATTATCATAAATTTGCATAAAAATTAAATATGTACTTGCCTCAATATATTTTTCTTTCTTTAAAATTTGGGTATATTGTTTTAAATTTAGTACATTATTCAGAATTTCATGAAGCATGTTTCCCTTAAAAATCCACGAAACCTGTATCAGATTTTATCACAATATGATAATTAAACTTATTAAATTATTTTTACTTGTTTTACAAGCGTTCAATATATTCATTTTGTTTCTTGTATGGCGTTTATGCGCCATTAGGAAGGTTTAATTGGATATATGGGAGAGCTAGCCGATGCGACAGTTAAATGAAAACAGCGATTCATTGAAACAGTGATTCATAAACTCTTTCAATAAAACAGTTCTCTAGCTAACTACCACAGACACCGTTAACGAGACTGCTCGAGAAAGGATAGAAATCAAGATTTTCTGAAAAGGACAAATGGAATGCACAAACGTTGATGGCGGGCAAATGTGTTTGTCACACCGGTCTTCGGGCTTAAACCATGTGATCTTTCTTTGAGGGTTGTGTCTCTACTCTCCGCTAATGTCCAAATTCTTTTTCTAACCGTATTGCAAATGTGGCAGTTCTAGTGCTTGATGCATCTGCATTGGCCCATGTGTATGAGAGGTAATGGATTACTGTATAAAAACTTGCCCTGTTTGTAGAGGTGGACACATAAAACATGTGTAAAATATGCATAAAATATTTGTTTACTTTGCGTTCCTTTTAAATATCACAAAATGTGGCATCGATTGTACAGTTTATTTTTATGTATTTTTAGAATGAGTCATTATAAATAACCCTCAATTGTAACCCTCAACCCTGACACGAGTTTGAAGACGTTTGTGTGTATAACCATTCATAGATGCTTAGCAGTTTTCAGATAATAAGAAGTAACAAGTATTAAAATTACCCGAACTTGGTTATAATTTGACGAAATTTAACAAAATATTGTCTAATTTGGAATCTTTGAGATGTTTTATACTTTTGAGCTGGTTCTTCCGTAAAACATTAGAAAAGAGATGCATTGAATTTTGTGTTATATTAAAAAAAATTAAACATTACACTCTGGTACTTTATCGAACATTTATCAGTTTCCGATGGTTTAACGAAGTAATTCTGTTATGTCAGTGTAGCTAATAATGCCACTATCGTTCCTAAGCAGAGGTGAGTCACTAAAAGCGCAGCAGAAGGCATAAAACAACTTGTCTAATTGCTCATGTAGATTTTTACCGTAAAAATATTATTAAAGCTTCAGAGGAAGTGGTCGGTGGATGTATTTAAAAGGCTAATGTTGCTGGATTTATTTAAAATGCTAATAATACTAAACAATAGGCCTGATATTTTGAAGAAATTTAAGAAATACGAGTAAACTCCATTTACTCTTTTTATCAGCTTTGTAAAGACTTGGACAAAAAAGTGTCTGCAAGAAATCTCAAAAACCAATTAAAAGTAAGCATTGATAAAATGTGACCTACTTTAAGTTTTAAAATGAATTTTTATTTTTAATAATTGAAGAATATCTTTTGAAACTCGTCGAGAGATACGGTCTCCTAAGCTTGAGAATGAGAACCGAGAAAGAGAATGAGAACCTGTTTCACCGAGGGATTGTGGGTTATCATTTCCAGTGTGCTCGGTTTTCAGTCAGAATGTATCCCTCGTATATTTAAAATTCATAGGAGTATACGTCGTTCACCATAGCATTGTACCCACGTATTTTTTTAAAATTTTTTCCTCAAGTGTTCTTTCGTAACGGCACTTCGATGGCCTCCACAAATAAAAATGTTGAAAAGGATGGCGATAAATGAGGTATTCGTGTAGAAGTTAAGAAAGAAATCAATCTGAAACACGAAAGAGGCAGGCCACCATTCAGTCAACATTGCTATGCTTCAAAATAATTCTACTTGAAGATTACACAGAAGATTGAAAAAGAAATGAAAAGTCTGGATGCATCAGAAATAGTCACAGGAGTGCCAAAGCAATAGCTGAAAGCTGGTTCTGGAAGATTCAGAAAAGTTGCCTATCTTGGAAATGAATGAGAAGTGACCAACAAGTGATTTTGTGACCAAGAACCTGAACTGCATGAAGACAAAGTTATTATACATAGTGTTTATAAATGAATGTCGGGGTTTTAACGTTTTGTAGTATTTATTACGTAAAACTTAAAATCATAATTAATACATGAAATGAAAGAGCAACTCAAACAGTTCTGTTTGTGCCGCATGCGTTAGACATGCATGCGCCAGAAAGCGCCTGTAGCAAAATGGTGACTAGTGAACAGAATGCTTTTTCTGTACTGCAGTTTGCAAAGACCGAATCCATAATTACTGTGCAAAGTGCGTTCCGGATTAAGTTCAGATGTAATTCCCCAAGTGATAATAACATCCGTAGATGGTATCATCAGTCTGGAACCGCAAACACTAATCAACGTCCGGCAAGAACTGGGGTATCGACTTGATGTGTGCCGTGTGACGAAAGGTGCCTCACAATAAACACTTGTAAGATTGTAGGTATAACTGTTTGTATTGCTCTTTCATTTCATGTATTAATTATAATTTTAAGTTTTACATAATAAATACTACAAAGCATTAAAACCCCGATATACACTTAGAAACACCCTGTATAGTAACTTCATAAGTAATCTGCCAGGAACATCGACAGAAAACGGAAAAGGGCTTTAAAGCGAGCAGGAAATGGTTAATAAACTTAACAGTAGAAATGATATCAATAACGTTGTGACGCAAGAAGAGCCTACGAGGTCTTATGTTCAGGCAGCTGAAGCATTCGTTTCCGAGTTCCTGAAACTCATAATTTCCAAGTGTTACTTGTTGCAGAAAATTTTTCATTGTGATAAAATGGGCTTTTTTGGAGAAGTATTGAAAAGCTACATTACAGAAGAAAATAATGCAGTACTCGGTCACGAGTCCGCTAAAAACCATCAATCTCTTGCCGTCTTTTTGGATGTGAATGATATTCCTACTAATTCTTCATAGCATGATTACAGCTTCTTGAAGAAATTCGTGTTCAAAGGAAATTCTTTATTCCAGACAATAGCCCAGAGATCCTTTTTACACTATAAACAGCTAAACGTCATTGGTAAAATCTTGCTTTAAAAGGTTTAGCCATTAACAACACACTATTATATAATCATTATAACAATACCAACTATTATTACAAACACTATTATATAAACAACTATAACCACTATCATAACAGTACAAACACTTGTTGATGAAATTTGATCCTCGTGGATAGTCATGGGACTGAAAGTGAATGAGGACAACATGGGGCAATTAGATAATTTCTTACAAAGGGAATTTAAGAACATGTTTGGTTTAATCAAAGCTAAGATATTTTTGGGTATAAACTATGACTAATCACGTGATAACCAAAACGTTTTTATGGGAAATAATAAAAGTGTTAATTGCGTTGGCTTAGTTTGATATTGCTGCATCACATTATAATGAGTAGTTCTGTTTGTCATCATTCAAACAGGTGGTGGGCTGAATTAAAAACTTTTATCACTCTACAACAGAAAAGTTAACACTCAAATAATATGGCACAAGTAACTTTTTGTGCCATATTATTTGAGTTGTGACAAGGAGTGTTTTAGAAGTGGAGCAGCATCTCATGATATGCTTGAAGATTTTATGCGTCCCAAATCTTGTTGTTATGCCTGTTGAAATATTCATCCAACTAGAAGCGCATCTCTTATATAAAGCACAGCCCACCAGCGGCCGAGCGGTAAAGTCGCTGAACACTGATAGTTCGGTCCGAGGTTCGAATCCCGCGAACGGGCTAGCTGCATGGGTGTTTTCGTGGTTTTCCCCATGTGTAACGTGTATACGAGCCAGTTGCCCTTAGAAAGTCCTGCACGAAGGCATCCCTCCCTTTAGGCAGATAGCCCTAGTGTGCTTTGCCATAATTAAATACACACACACACCTAACATATAAAGCACACATCATGAACTCAAATCGATTCCAACGAGAAATAGGACTATTTATGCCGATGATCCAACGAGAAAAAGAACTGCGATGCCGACAATATTTTATTAGAAGCTGATCAAAATAAACACTTTTGAATAGACAAAAGTATTAAATTAAGACAAAAGTATTTTTTTACATAAGTAAAATAAAGGAACGTATTGTTTTCCAAATTTTGAAATAAAATTGAAGCTTATATACAATCTTCAGTTGGTTTAGAAATGATTGCTTATATATGAAAATCGATGTTTTTATTTAATTATTAAAAAGACATGTAATTAGAAAAAGGGAAAGAAATGCGCAGTTTAATTTAAGTATTTAAAATTTCAGAAATTTAATTGTTGAATGCGTTCATAAAATTCTTAAATGCTTGAAAAAAAGTAATTATATCTTCTAAAAATATCTGCCGTGTTATTTAACATTAATTTACGAAGCAAAATAGTAAAAATATCTGTTAGATTTCACAGTTTAGTTAATTTAGTTATATCCCCGTAACGAGTATAACTAACGAATAATTATTAATTTCTAGAGTAACTGAAATCAATTGTGTAGATCCAAATGTGGGTTTATACAAAATACACAAAGCAATAATATATACATTAACGAATTGCTAAATATCTATGAAACTCAAAATGTCTCCTTAATTTTTAATATTACTGAAATATTAGCTTACCAAAACAAAACACGCGTTTGTTATTTAAGTCTGACTCCAGGGCAACTTCCAACCTAACACAAATAACCAATTTTCGAAATGCTTATTTTTTATACGTCGTCATTCTTTCTTTTGATATATAAAAATATATATTTTTGTTCCAGGAACTGGGTGAAACACAGAAGACTCATTCTCGGCTCAAATGACACGACATCTATTCCTCATTGGTTGAGAATCCTGCATGGTATTCGAGTCTATTAAAAATAACTTTGAATTAGGAGAATAACAACTAATAAATCATTATATTCTAGCTGCTAAAAGTTTCACATATTTGGTATTTATTCTGATGCTGGATTTCGCATGAATCGCTGTTACACATAGACGAAATTATTTTTATGTCAAATGAAATTAATACTGTAACAGATGTCAGAGATAAATTATTATTTATTAGTCAATAAGCAAAATGATTACGGTTTAAATATTTTTCACATGTATTGCAGATTTCGCAAAATGCTTCGATCCAGTACCTTATAAAATGCCTGATAAATATTGCCGACTTGATAAAGTATTAAATGTATACCATGAATGTAAGACACCTGAAGTCGCCCAGACGGTATAGTGGTTAAGAGAACCTACAACGGTACCAAAGGGCCCGTGTTCGAATCCCGGAGAAGACATGGATGTTTGTAAATGTGTTGTGCCGGTGCGGCAAGGCGATACTCTAAATATGTGGCGAGCTGAAAGTCTTCTCGTGTGGATTGGCTAGAGTGGAGAAGGGTGAACCCCCCTCGGTGTCCTCTTCCTCAAAATTGGGGATGGAAAATAGAAATCCAACCTCTCTTCGGAGTAGTCTCTGGCAACCATTGTTCCATGCAATATGGACACGCCGACAACAACAAGACATTTGAACATATTTGCTTAATTCATCACATAATATAAATTTCGAAAGCTGCAGTAATTCGACGAAGCTTTTAAAGTTTTTGTCAAGCGTCGCGTATCGCCTTTTCTGCTTTCCGCAAATCATGCTTATAAAAAATTCCGTACTCGGTCTTTATTTTCATAACCATTCGTCGTAGAAACAGTTACAACAAAAATGTTTAACACTTTGACTGTCACAGCTACCTTACTTTTCGGATCCTTGTGCATCGAATTGAGTCACAGGTTTTGTATTATTTGAAGCCGTGTGAATCACCGGTGTTTCACAAACGCAGAGATTTTATATGGTTAAAATTCTACGGCCTAAGAAAGTTGCTCGGTATATTTGGTTTCCGACCTCTGGAAGCTTTTTTCCATAAATTATCGTATGATTTTAATATATATTTTGCTGCAATAACTTTTAAGCAATTATTCTTTATGCGAAAGTAAGGCAACGAAGTTGTAACTAAAGGAGATTGTGTTGTATATTAAAGAATACAAGACTAGTGGTGCACAGCGAAAAAAAAAATAGGATAGTTCTGTATCTCCCTTTCTACTGAGCCGATTGACGAAATTTAAATTGAGTTTTTCATGTCTCGAAAGCACGACTTAGGATATATATTAGATTTATATATAGCATTGTTCTAATATAGGTATTTTGACATAAAACCGGACGTTTTCTTAAATGACATGCCAATTTGTTTCCACATTTCGATTCTACGATTCATATTATGCCTAAATATTAAATTTTGTAAAACTTGGTGCGAATATTACGTAGAAATTCAAACATTTATCTTGGCGGCGCATTTTTTTTTAGTTTGCTTCGAGAATAATTCACTTGACAAACTTGATAATATATAGCAACCTATTTTCCTTTTCCATTTTGCATTGCGCACGAGCGAAAAAAAGTCACATCGTTCCTACTTTTAAATAATTTTAAGAAAGTGCCTAAATTACGTTTGATGTTGTTATCTCTTTCAACATATATGCCAAATTTCAAAATGCGCCAATATATAAATTTAGGTATATCTTTGGAAATTTGGAATAAAAAATTCTAACTTTTTCCAGGTACGCTTAGAAATACATCTATTCTCTGAAGTGTTATTACTTTTGAATCATAACATGGTAATTCTAAAAAATCAATCAAAGTACAAATATTTTTCATTTTTAACTAATGTAAATAATATTACGAGTTTGGTACGTGCCAATACTGAAGCCTGCGAATGTCTTCTTGATCACGTTTTCTGTAAAATTCTGTGGACAAGATATTTAAAAAAATGTTTATCAATATTTCTCACAATAATTTCCATAGAAATGCGCGCAATTTAATTTCTTACTATGAGAAAGCGTTTTCTAAAGTGATTTTTATTTTTAGTTGTGTACCAAAGCAAACATTTCATTGCTCAGTTTGCGGGCGGCCCCTGAATATGATTTCGGATTTATCTCGGTGAGTCTTTGTATTTCGGGACTCATACATTTTGTGTTTTATTTTTTAAAATGAATACAAAACATTTCGAAGTGTAAAAAGTACAAAACATTCGACGGGAGGAATGTATAAAGCGTTAGGTTTAGTTATTCTTAAAATAATTAATTTATTTAAATTTAAAAATAACAAAAGATTAATCTTTGCTTCATTTAAAGCATATTTGTTACTGGAAGTGTATGTCTTCTAACAACGGTTAAGAAAATAAAGGTCGAGTAAAGACACAGATTGTATTGTAAAATGGGTTATCCCCATTTTCGAAGTAAGAAATTCGCTTGTGTGCACTTCAGTCTTGCAAATTTATTTATGTTACGACGATTATTGTTGTTTGTCATTGCTCAATTAAACCTTTATTTAGATTTCTCCCGGTTTTTTCTTTAATACAACAGGACAACTTTTAGCTCCTTGAGTGTGGCTCTTCTACAAAATGGCACATGCGCGGAAGAGCTCTTAAAGGTTAAAAAAAAAAAAAAAAAAAAAAAAAAAAAATCTTGAAAATACAACACAAAGGCCGTCAAATTTTACAAAAGTATGAAAACAACTGAAAAAATATTGTCTGCCCATGTTATTTTTAGGAATTGCTTTTTGTACCGATTTCGGCGTTTTGATTGTACTGATTAAACATCAAATTGTGCTGTCGTATTCCAAATTTTAACTAATGAAATTCTTTGAATTAATACATCATTTAATGACAATTTTAACTTGAACAAGTCAAATAACGGGAAAATGAAATTTAGTTTCAAAATATCAGAATTTTTAGCTTCTAGGCCTTTCAAATTTCCAGTGTCTGAAACAAAAAGTTTCCTAGCAACACAATTTACGCAACATAAAATACACAGACGATGTTTGGGTTGCATGTAATATGAAAAAACTTTAAATTGGAAATGTCTAAAAACTAAAAAACCCGTCTAAAATATATTTTGACCCAAAATTTCAGTTTTATATTACTTGGTGTGTTAATTTAAAATTGTAAAATTTTTACTAATGTATTGATAAATGTGCCACTGTGCTGATTTCATTACAATTGTACCGACAAGAATAACACTGATATCTGCGTTCGATTGTGTTTCTGCCTTGATCCAAGTTCCAAGAGTTGCCGTAAGCCGTGATTGTTATGTATTTTCGCACAACACATTCAGGATGTCATCAATTTGTTGAAATCTTACTAACAAGTGAAAAGAAATAGGCATTGCAATTAATAAAAGTAAAATATGTAGTCACTGCTTTATTGAGAATAGCACTGAAATTTATAATTTATGCTTCATTTCCCTTTGGATCACTTTCTAATAATGAATCAGTGAAAAACGTTGAACGTTGGAAATGTGAAAGAATGAATAAAAATTGAAAAACTGTATGTCAGTCATATAGTTAAGCACACAGCAAGAGTTTCATCAGCGGAGAATAAAAAAAAAAAATGCTTTTGGTTTTTGGAACTGCACAATTCGAGGAATCAATTGGGGTGAAAGAATCATAAAACTTGTAAAAGTACTGAATGCTTATAATAATAATGCAGATATAATTTTATAAACACTTCTGCAAAAGTTATGTATATATCAGATACAAATTCCAAAACTTTAGTTATATTTACTGTAATAAGAGTGTCATTATTATTATTTGCTAGTGTATATGCATGTAAGTGACTAAGTTTGTTTGTATTTAAGTGACTAATATATTAGAGTAACTTTGCAAATTGTTAAAGCCAAAAAACTGACAAGATATTTTATTGTTTTTCTTGATACTAATTAATAAAATTATGTACATCTTATATTGTCTTTAATATTATATTAAGGACATTATAAAATGATTTAAAGGAACAAGAACCGTCGTAATATTCATAAATTTGCAAATTTCAAAAGTTTAAATATAACCTTTATTCTTCAGCTGCAGAAATGCAAATGACGAAAGTGATAAGATAAGGCAATAAGAAACATAGGAAGGAAGTCAAGCTGCAGGTACCATCCATTAATTAAAAATGAAAACAACAATCAAAAAATTTTCTTAAAAGCTGAGGGTAAAGAAGAATTGGAATTCGGATCGTTAACTATAACTGAAAGATTTTTGTGAATGTAAAATGCCTCTAAACAATATAATTCACCAATGGAAGATATTTTTTGAATAATTTTGGCTGCAGTTAAAATGGAAAATGCGATTTTTTGATGAATATTGTTGAGAAACAGAGAATTTACGTGTTTCTTTTTTTTCCCTAACATATACCTGATATTCCTGAGCACGAAATATTGAGGTGGTCTTAGTGTGATCAATGTAAATTACATCACGTTGATTATACCCCAGGAGTTCATATCTGGAATGGTGTCAAGTATAGAACTGCAAATTTTATTGACAGAAGGGAAAACGACACAAAATTTTAATTTCTGGAAAATATATGCAATTTTATAGCTAATATGTGGAAAAAAAAGGAATGAAAATATAATTCTTATCTCCTAAAGGAGAGGGTGCTTTTTAATGTGTTGAAATGAGAATTTTTTAACCACTTAGTCAGTAATGTTAGGTGAAAATACTTGTGAAAATGACTTATCTTTAATTGAAAATTATTTTATTAATTTGCATGTAAAACGTATATTATGTTTCTTAGTAATATCTAATGAGAAGTTTAATTACTTTGAAAACCTTCAATGCATGATAACAGTTTAATAAGCTAATGGAGAAAAATAATTGATTTAAGTTTAAAAAGATTCAATTTTTTAAAATTTAAAATTGTGTGTTCTCAGATTTATGTATACTTTGTGTTCATAATTCAAACACTTACATAATTTGTACATGTATTGATATATAGTAAAGTAACTGGTTATGTTAATGACTGTAGTTGCCTGTATTTGAGGGTATTTAGGGCACTTA